AAAGTAAGCCCTATTGGTGTCTAATTGAACCAAAAATCTATAATCAATAATGTTTTACTACATATAAGCATACAACTAGAAGAAAGGAGATCAAATGTGCACATCACAAATGATTAAGTATTGCAACGATGCTTGGGCTAATTACCCTAAATAGATCAACACACATTATATATACATATCGAAACATAGTTTTTACCCATAAATATGTACAATATGTTTAAGTAAAAAAAAAATTGTAAATAAAAATCTCTCAAAACTTATTTTTCCAACAAAAATATTTGAAAAATTAATCTCAATAATTATTTTAGTGAAGTTAAATTTGATTAGAAAAATACCCTAGCACTATAGCCATTAGGTATTCATTCAGAGTGTCAATATATTTTTTTTTAGTACTTGACCTAAGGATGGACTGAATCACTTTAAAATATTAACTATTTTTATTTAATTCTCAAAGCTCAAGTCATAAACAAAAGCACTTAGGGCCATCAAGCTTAAACAGGGCCTTCAATGGAATACAATAGGCACGTACATGTGACCTCTTACAACATGACTTCAAGACTGAGCAATCAATTGATACAAAAACCCTCCAATCACAATCAGTTTTCACCATAGTTTCTAATACTGATCTTGCACACATTTTGTGTACCTTCACGAACTCAATGTTGGTGCTACTTGTGTGATGCCCAAGAAAATCCAAAGAGAGAAATTAAATACTAACAGATAATATTTTGTCAGGTAGAGTTACACAAACCATTTAACATCTAAAATTTTTTTTTAAATGCATGATTTAGATAACTTCATAAATAGATAAAGCTAACCGGTAGTTTCAGAAGTCAAAATAGTTGGTTATCTTTGGTTTTTTTTTGATTGTTTGTTTGTTTGTTTGTTTGTTTTTTAAATAGTTGGTTATCTTTGAAGGAAAGAGAGAAGTTTTTTTTGTTTGTTTGTTTGTTTGTTTGTTTTTTAAATAGTTGGTTATCTTTGAAGGAAAGAGAGAAGTGATTGAGAATGAACACAAAGCGCTCTTGATGTGCTAGTAATTTTATAATTCTTGACCTGTGTGGTCATTAGACTACAGTTTTCTGGAATCCTTTAGCACTGTTCCATACTATGTAACTTTCTTAAAGTTTTCAAACTAATCCTTCCTAATTCCTTAAGTCTACTATTTAAAATACCAAACAGAAAACCTTAAGTAAGAAATATTTTACTTCGGAAGAAAGTTACTATTATTTTTATAAATCAAAAAGAAAACTCTAAAATTCAATTTAATTTTTAATTTGCTTATTCCTAAGAAAACAGAATTTAGGTTTTACCATTTGTGAGAGCTGGAAAGTCTTCCTTTTTCTTCCTATTATATAAAGATTTCTTTCCTCTTCACCTTTCTCTATTCGGAAGTCTTCCAATTTCCTACAAATTTAAATACCCACTCGTATTAGTTAACTGAACTGACAGATAACTAAGAAATATAAAGAACAAAAATTAATCATGATTCTAGAAATCACAAGTTTATATACTTTTAAAATCAATATACAAAATTCCTAAAGTTAAAACAAACCTTTTTAGAAAATTTAATATGAATAAATAGAAATCTCAGAGGTAGCTAGGACATCCTATTTTTCATATTTAACACAAAAATATTCATTCATTTGTACTCTGATTGGCACTACTGGAATCAATTTAAACAGGATGTACCATATTAGCTACTCAAAATGTTCCCATAATTGTCTAAGATTACAATTTTTTTCTCTAAAGAGCAGAGTCCTCTTCCAAATTTATCATGTTTATAAATGTTTTATTATTTACAGAAGTAGCAATGTTACTAGTTTTTCTAACCACCTTTATTTCATTCAGATGATACAAACGAAGATAATGTTGTTGTGACCAATTTCCAAGCAAAAGACCTTCCACCATGAGGAAGATACTTAACACCATTTTTATTTTCTGTGGGAAAAGACTGAACATCCCTTTTCTCCAATTTGAACATTACTGAAAACATGTGGCTTTATGTTTTTGTTCCCTTTAATATCCCACTGGAAAAAGTTTCAAGACTGACATCTTGGCCATGCTCCAAGTGACTAAGTGTAAGTACAAATGCTTTAAGGACAAAAACTGATTTATAAGGAAACCACTTTTTTCTCAAGGTACATCTGCAGCCCACACTGATTACAGTGGAATATTATTCTATCCTCAAAGGATTTCTAAATCAGACAATCGTTTACAAGAAGTTGTCAACTGTACCACTTTTATGTGAATTTAAGGAACAGTACACAGTATGCATAATGAGGTTTTTCACTTACAGCCAAATGAAATTCCTGTTATCTGTAAATTCCGTTTACAAGAAGTTGTCAACTGTACCACTTTTATGTGAATTTAAGGAACAGTGCACAGTATGCATAATGAGGTTTTTCACTTACAGCCAAATGAAATTCCTGTTATCTGTAAATTTCCCTTTAATAATGAAACACTGTATACAATTCTTTCTCAATCAATAAAGCAAAGTAACATTCAAGGCTCTCATAGGTGTCATTTTCAACTGTAATTCTACTCCTAATGAAGATGATGAGCTAAGAAGGGTGGTATTATAAAAGATAACAGACTGTATATGCAATTCATTCACGCTTTTAGAATGTGATGAAAGAATTAAAGTAGGTTCCCTAACAATCTCTGCCTTGTGTTGAGCCTCATGACCTCAGTGTGAACATCTTGTTCTTAAGAAAAGGCTAAAACGTGCCTAGGGCTGAAACACACTGATTAATGCATAATTTGTGTGAAAGCAGTCAATAATAGAATGAAGCATGAAGATTCTTTGCTCAAAACTGCACAAAGACATTTTCAACTTTCTGATGTAACTTGTAACCAATGAGTGTTAACTTCTGTATTTGGCCCACCAATGAGAATGGAATAACTCCACTCTGTGATGGTCCCCTCCACTCTGTAACCTTCTCTTTAAAATCTTTGCTCTTTGTAACAGGCTCCCAGAGCAATTCCCAACTCTGTTGGCTGGTATTTTCCTGACTATATCCTCACATTTTGCTCCCAATAAACTTTATGAAATTATTTTGCCTTGACAGCCTGAATTTCTGTCAACTAATGAATAGAATTTCTACTATAACTGGATCAAGACAAACTACATGCATGAGAAGAATTACCTCTACTGGGAAGCAACACTATGTGCTCATAGCTCTGAACAGTAGGGTCATTTATTTTCACACTTTTATCTATCACCTAAGTTTTTCAGAACAGACACCTCATAATTTTATAGTAAGAAAAAATCTTAAATTCTCTTCATCCTAAACAGTTATGCAAAATTTGTGGTTGTTTCCACTACAGAGATTGTTATCAAGGGCACTGATCACTACTCTCTTAATCAGTATCTCCTTCATACAATCCAAGGTCAACTTTATTTTAGAATACAACATAAGAGAGCAAAGCTATGCTCTTCTTTGTGAAAATTATATTGTGGCAGACAGCTAGCTAACTCACAAAATCCATTCTCTTTTTCTTCCTTACAGATTCCAAATTTTTATCTAGGCTCTTTGCTGTCCCCAATAATAACTGTTATTATCTAGCCTCCTCGTTACCTTAGTATGGCCAAATGACAACATTCTGGTGAATGAGTTATGAGCAAAAATGCCATGTGGCTGCTTAAAAGAAGTTCCCTCATCTAGAAATGCCTGTTATATCTTCTGCCTATCTTCCTTCTTCTGTCCTAAATCTCAACCTACATCACAGATAAAGATACATGATGGCTAGAGCTTCAGCAGCTATCTTGGGCCTTTGAGGTGACGTTAAGACTAAAAGCCAAGCTATAAGACAGGGATCAGAAACAGGAATCTAAATCCCTGGTTAACTGTAGATCCACGATTCCAGGCTTATATGTCCAGTCTTCCTTTAGGTAAGAAAATAAATGCTTGTTAAGGAACAATTCTTCAGGTCTTTCTCTGCTGATACCTCCTTGACAATGAAAAGTACCTCAAAAATGACCCTCTCGGTTCTGATAACCATGAAACTCTGATGCAAATTTTAAAATTAATTATAATTATTATTAATTGAAACACTGACTGGGTATTTGCTTATACTGAGGAGTTTGGGTTTTTCTTAAGGTATGGAAGTGTCATACTATATACATGATAGTGATTTTCTGTATTTCTTATCATAATTCCATATTTTGCTTTTCACTATATTTTATTGTGTACATATAAAACCTTCTCAACTTCATTGTAAAATGTAAGTGCTACCCAGTATTACTCCACCAATCACTGAAACTCTTCTAGCTAAACACATGAAAGAAACACTTTTATAAAATTATATTCAAGGTATTAGTTGTCATAAAACACAGACATAACAGAACACTGAAACATTTTAGATACCACTGAAAAAAGTATTTGCTGCCTCCATTTCAATGATAACTCAAAAAGCAGTACAAGTTAGTTGCAAGGAAGACTCCTATTGCCCAGAATGTAATTATAAAAAATTATTTCTCACTAAAAGAAAACAGGGCTGCTTAAGAGAAAAGACAAAACTGATTACAGATCTAGGTCAAGAAACTTACAAAATGAACATCTTGCCATGCCAGATAGCACGGATGCTACGCAAGATCACTACCAGTCATTTCCATCTCTGGCCAGAGATGAAACAATTTACATATCAATAAGAAACACCAGAAATAAGTTAAATCCCAACAATGCGATTTATACACTGAAACACACACACATATACACAAATTGGTCACAGCTGAAAGATGAAAGAGAATAAATCTTTATTCTGAAGGTAAATAAATCAAAAGAATTGAGCATCTACCCTGCTTTTGTAAGTACGTACAAACTTTACTACTGGATAATGAAATTTGGGTAAAAAAATTTTTTTCAAAGTAGCAAATGAAGCTTTGATAGCGAAGAATACCTGATGAATTACTGAATCTAGACATTAAGCCAAGTTACTAACATCATAAAAAGAGAGACTAGGTATTGGATGTTCCTTCTGATAGAATTATACCTTTTTTTTCAAAGTAGCAAATGATGAAGCTTTGATAGCGAAGAATACCTGATAAATTACTGAATCTAGACATTAAGCCTAGTTACTAACATCATAAAAAGAGAGACTAGGTATTGGATGTTCCTTCTGATAGAATTATACCATTTATGAAACAGTCTTGCAAAAAACTAATCACATTTATTACTTTAAAACAACTGGAAACTGAATCACTGACTAGGTACTTGGTTATGCTGAGGAATTTATTTTTTAAGGTATGGTAGTGGCATTGTGGGTACATTTTAAGACAATTCCTTATCTTTTAGAAATACATACTGAATGGCCGGCCCGGTGGCGCACTGGATAGTGCGCCGCTTGGGAAGCGCGGCGGCGCTCCCGCCCGAAGGTTCGGATCCCACATACAGACCGGTTCCCGCTCACTGGCTGAGCGGGGCGCGGGAGCAACACCAAGGGTTGCGATCCCGTTGCCGGTCCCCGGTCCGGTACGGGGGCAACACTGAGGGTTGCGATCCGTTGCCGGACACGGAAAAAGACAAAAGACAAAAAAAAAAAACTTTAAGGAAAAAAACAATGTGACTAAGATCAAAATATAGAATACTGAACAAATATTAAGTTTTAATTTCCACTAAACTTTCTGAAACTGTAAAATGTATAAACATTTCCATTATGTTATATTTGCATTCCTAACAACCTTGCCTTCTTCAAAAGTGCACCCTAAAAGAGTCTCTTGGAAAAATTAGTGTTGAAGACAGACTCCTCAAATTGAGAAGAGCTCTAACAACAACATTAATTGTGACTCTCAAGAAATAGTGCCACCCAGGAAGAGAGCTGCCAAAGTGGATATTAAAGAATTCATACAAATGAAATATTGTGGGGAAATGCTGACAGCACTTGAACTAAGCAGAGCAAGTGGGTGATGAGGCAATGTAAACAACAGGATTGCCACTAAGGTGGTAGGGCGACAGGAGAGAGGGCGACCTCCACAAGCTTGAAGGCAACAGAAGCTAAACACAGGCTTCTAGGAAGGACAGTCTTAAAATACAGGGTGAGAGGGCTCCTCCTATTAATGCTACAGAAAAACTGAAGGTTATATCCTTTCCTGTGGGAGGCTATCACATTCTACTCCGGCTATGCCACCTCTCCTTGCCTAGGGAAAAATACACATGAGCGAACACAACTTCTGCCTACTTCAATGAACAACATTCTATTTACCAAATATAAACTAATCTGCATTACAGAACACACATTGAAGACATTCCTGTGAAACAACAGGCACGAGCCCTTCACAGGTACCAGTGTTATGAGAAAACTTCTAGATTAAAAGAGACAAAATAGTTAAATGCAACAAGCAAGACTTAATTAAATCCTAAATTTTAAAAAAGCCACAAAGAAGGACATTGGGAAAACTGTGGAAATGTGAAATGAGGACTATAAATTAGACAGCAGTACAAGGGGGTCTTCAAAAAGTTCGTGGAAAATGGGAATAATGAAAAAACTATGCAAGGATTGCCCTTTTTTTTTTTTTTGCACCAAAACTCAGTATACACTAACTTGTTAACAACATGTCTGAACAGGATCTCATTTGAGACACCAAGAAAGATAAGACAACAGTTTGAAAAGAGCCCCTATCAGAGCAACATGAATTCTGTTGAAAGTGAAGCAAGAACAAACGTCAAATTTATGGTGTGCTAAACTGAAGCAAAAACAAACATCAAATTTATGGTGAAGTTTGGGTAGAAGAATGATGAAACCACTGATGTTTGCAAAAAGTTTATGGGTACAATGCCCCAAAGAAATCAGGATTTTTTAATCTCTTAATTCCATTTTTCCAAGAACTTCAAGTCCTGTCATACTGCATCAATATAAAGTTTAAGTGTAATCATGGTTACATAAGTATGATTATGTAAGACAATGTCCCTGGTTCTTGAAGATATAGAATGAAGCATTAAGGTATAAAGTGTTACAAGTCTTCAATTTACAAAAGCTTCAGGGGAAAAAACATACAGAAAAAAAGTGAGACATCTCAAATGGTTCATCTTACACAATTCTGATTGAAAAATTACAAGCATACTTTGTGCTCGATGGGTGCCCAAACTGTTATACCCAGATCAGCTGCAGACAAGAGCAGAGCCTTTGAGTGAGACATCTCAAATGGTTCATCTTACACAATTCTGATTGAAAAATTACAAGCATACTTTTTGCTCGATGGGTGCCCAAACTGTTATACCCAGATCAGCTGCAGACAAGAGCAGAGCCTTTGATGGAAATTTCTAACAAGTGAGATCAAGATCCTGAAGCATTTCTTGGAAGAATTATAACAGGAGATGAAATGGGTTTACCAGTATGATCCTAAAGACAAAGCACAATCAAAGCCATGGCTACCAAGAGGGAGAAGTGGTCCAGTCAAAGTAAAAGCAGACTGGTTAAGAGCAAAGGTCATGGCAAGGTATTTTGCTCTGGAGGGCCAAAGAACAGTAACATTAGCTTATTATGAGAGCATCTTGAGAAAGTTAGCCAAAGCTTTACCAGAGAAATGCCCAGGAAAGCTACTCCAGAGAGTCCTCCTCCACCACAACAATACTCCTACTCATATTCCTCTCATCAAACAAGGGCAATTTTGTGAGAGTACCAGTGAGAAATCATTAGACATCCACCTTACTGTCTTGATTGGTTCCTTCTGACTTGTGTTTCCTAATCTTAAAAAATCTTTAAAGGACACCCATTTTTCTTCAGTTAATAATATGAAAAAGACTGCGTTGACATGGTTAAATTCCCAGGATCCTCAGAGTTCTAAAGAATGAACTAAATGACTGGTATCATCACTTACAAAAGTGTCTTGAAATTGATGGAGAAATAAAGTTTATGTTTTTTATTTTTATCTCTTAATTCCATTTTCCATGAACTTTAAAAAATCCCCTTGTACAAAGTTTGTTGAGTGTAATCATTATAGTATGGTTATGTGAGAAAATGTCCCTGGTTCTTGGAAAACACAGAATGAAGGACTGAGGTATAAAGTGTCACAAGTCTTCAACTTACTCACGAAAGCTTCAGGAAAAAATATATAAGAGTATTTGTGTATGTGTGTACATATACAGAATGAGATAAAGCAAATGTAGCAAAATAATGAATCTAGGTAAAATATACATAAGCGTTCATTGTGTTATCCTTTCAACTTTTCTACAGAATTAACTTTTTTTCAAAATAAATACTGGCCAAAATAAACTGTAAGTTTAAGAGAAAAAAACCTTAATTTCTCATACTAACTTTTATAGTCCTAGTCAATAGACAGCATGACTTCATCAAAAAATTTTTTAATTCATCTGTGAGGTCATTGTCTTTAAAGTTCTTACAGCTCTGCCAGCCCAAGGAAAAGGAATCAGGCAAAATAAACTCAAACCTACAAGTTTAAGAAGATTTTGTATACCATTTAACAATATTTCTATCTACCATTCCATACAATTCAACAAAACATAATTTTAAAAACATAAAAATTACCATCTTTGTGTTCTAGCAATGTAATGTGAAAAACTTCCCTCCACAGACACCTCGAAATGTGTGATAAAACCCAAGGGCTTGAGTTTTAATGCCCATATGGAAAGGCCTTGGTCCTATCAGGCACACAGCTATAAATGAGAAATAGCCACCCAGTACCCCCAAAAACCAGAATCTTTTGGAGTGCTATACCCTAGACAAAATTCTATTCCACTTATCAGCAGAAGTAGATGATTAGACAACTTGTCTATCTCAGCCTGAATCCAGATAAGAGGAGGACCCTTCCCTAGGAATTCATAAACACCAGCCTATACCTCATCTGGGTTGGTGGGTTCAAATTTATATTATCCATATGTCCCTGTGACCTTATGCTCTGCTGTTCTAGAGATCTTGGTTCCAGAGGGAGGAACCTGCATAATCAGGAAATAAAAATGACCCCACTGAACTGGAAGTTAAAACCGCCACCTGGCCACTTTGGGCTCATCGTGCCTCTGAGTTAACTGGCTAAGAAAGTAGTCTTGGTGTTGGCTGGGATGATTGACCCAGACTACCAAGGGGAAGCTGGACTAGTACTTCACAATAGAGGTAGGAAGATTATGTTTGAAATACAAGAGATCCCTTAGGGCATCTCTTAGTACTGCCGTGCCCTATAATTAAGGTCAATGGAAAATTATAACAATCAAATCCAGGCAAGACTATGAATGGCCCAGACTCTTCAGGTATGAAGGTATGGGTCACTCCACCAGGTAAAGAACCACGACCCGCTGAGGTGCTCACTGAAAGCAAAGGGAATACACAGCATAGATAGTAGAAGAAGGTAGTTATAAATACCAGCTTCAACCACGTAACCAGTTACAGAAACAAGAATTGTAATTATCCTCCATATTGTGTTAAGAATATGTCTCTGTGTATATATATCATACATATATTAATTAAGCAGTCATCTTTTTGTTCCTCTTATTTTTTATCATGTACCATGAGACTTACTGACTTTATATCAGCACTTAAATACTGTTAACTTTATTTACATCATAGTATTTGCATTTATATGGGATATTGGCAGAAGAATAAATATCATCTAAGGACTTTACCTCCTCTCCTGGCAAAGGGATTAATGTTTTCGGTTGTACATGGGATAGCTGCAACATGTTAGGTGAAACTATTAACATCATTGGCCCATTTGAAGATTAAGTATGATTTAAGGAGATAGTATGGACACCAAGTTGACAAGGAGTGGAACTATGAAGGTTAATTTTAGGTGTCAACTTGATTAGACTAAGGAATGCCAAGAAACCAGGTAAAGCAATCTTTTTAGAGCCTGAGTGGACTGGGTGGGCAAGATCTGCCTTCAATATGGGCAGGAACCATCCAATCTGCTGGAGATGGGATACACTCTTCTCTCCTGTCCATTGACATCAGAGCTTGACACTCTTCAGCTTTTGGGTTCCAGGACTTACACCAAGGACACCATTGGCTTCCCTGGTTTTGAGGCCTTCAGACTTAAACTGAGCCTTGCTACCAGCATCCAGTTTGGGGACAGCCTATCATGGGACCATTCATTCTTCACAATCATTTGAGCTAATTTCCCTAATAAGATCCCTCTCATATAATTATAACATACCGTACTGATTCTGGAGAACCTTGACTAATATACCATGTGATCCCAAAACTACAAAGATGGTAAGTTAAAGAACTGGTCCTTGCAGGACCTGTATATCATAATGCCATCTTCCACCAAAGTTATTTTCCATGCAGTGATCACATCTTCGGAGTAGCCTGATTTTTGTTCTTTTCAGTAAAGGCAATTTGTCAGATATCTAATTCACTGTTTTATAAAGCTTCTTACATAAAGTCAAATATTATAGAACATATTTTACTATTAAAAAAAAAACCACGCTGGTGATAATGTTGGGTACCTTTACAGAACCATTTATAAAGCCATTCTGGAAAGATAAGCCCTCAACTTTGGTTGCACATCATTCCCACTAATAATTTCCTCCTAAAGATGAGCTCATTATCTAAAACACACAATGATACACAGCAGTATGCAAAGATATGTAACAATATAGGGTTAAGCTTCCCAAAGAACTTCAGATAAGAAATGTGATAAACACTGTAAAATAAATAACATATGGGGCAAAAAAAAAAATAATATATATATATAAAACCAAAAATATACAGACATTCAAACTCAGTGATACAGCAAAATTTCAAATCAAGATTGTATTACCACTTGACACCTATTCAAATGGCAAAAATCAAGAAACTAAAAAAACCAAATATTGAAGAAGTGAAGCAACAGCATCCTTTATATACTGCTGGTGAGAATGTAAATTGTACAACCTCTGTGGACAATAGTTTGGCACAATCAAGCTGAAAGCTCATATAGCTATATTTAGCATTTCCACTCCTAGATTAATATTCATACAAGGTCAAGGGTTCGGATACCCTTACCAGCCAGCTGCAAAAAAAATAAACAAACTTCATGTGAAATTCTTTCAAATATATACAAGACACATACAAGATTGTAGTAGCATTTTTGTTTGTGATCAGCAAAACCTTAAAATAACCCAAATGCCCATCGAAAGAATAAATAAAATTGGATATATTCATACAATGGGATAATACACACCAATCGAAATGAATCTTATACAACAGTAGAGAAATCTTAGAAATATTATATGAAAAAAGTCCCAAATGAATACAAACAACCCAGTAACCTTTTAATAGAGTTAAAAAACAAATGCTTCTTAGTAATGCATATAGGAACATAAAAACTATGTTTTTTTTTTTTTTCTTTTTTTCTTTTTTCGTGTCCGGCAACGGATCGCAACCCTCAGTGTTGCACCCGCATCTCGCTCAGCCAGTAAGCGGGAACCAGTCTGTATGTGGGATCCAAACCCTCAGCGGGAGTGCCGCCACGCTCCCAAGCAGCGCACTGTAGCAGTGCGCCACCGGGCCGGCCCCAAAAACTATGTTTTTTTAAAGGCAAAGGAAGGACCTACATAAGATTTAGGATAATTGTTACCTAGGGAGAGGGAAGCCAATGAAGATCGTGTGAATAGATGTAGGTTATCATCATGATTTAAAACAAATAGAAGACACGTGTAAACCAATGATAAAAGTATGTCATGAACAAAGGATTGATTAACCTAATTCTGTGCACCTGTTCAAAATAATTCACTATATAAAAAGAACTAAAACTTAAGGCATTAGACATTACCTTTAAAGTTAAATTTGAAAGACAACCAATACAACTTCTATTCATAATAGAAATATAAATTCAGGGCCGAGCCCGTGGCGCACTCGGGAGAGTGTGGCGCTGGGAGCGCAACAGCGCTCCTGCCACGGGTTCGGATCCTATATAGGGATGACCGGTGCTCACTGGCTGAGCGCGGTGCAGCCGGTCTCAAAAAGGACAAAAAAAAAAAAGAAAGAAAGAAAAGAAATATAAATTCAAAGACCAGTTAAATGCCCAACTGGATGAAGAAAGAGAGACCAAGAGTGCCAGAGCAGACAGATCTGAAGAAACTATCCAGAGCACAGCACTAAGTGATAAAGAGATAGGAAATAAAGTAATCTTGGGCAAGTATATTTTAAATGGTTTCCTCCTCCAAATAAAAGCATACATTCCTTGGCTATAAAGTAATTTGCTCAAAGTAGATTTCAGTAAAATATATTATTTTCCCACTAGTTGCCATTACAAAATAAAAATTAAGAGTCTACATAAAAGAAAAGGCGAATTCTCTAAAAGGCAAGTAAGCAGAAACATTTGGCAAAAAAAAGTGTTTAAAGCAGATATTTAAATTCGTGGCTGCATACCCCAGACAGGTGAGATATTGGCAGGGATTGCCTTTGTGGCACTGCTGGGATTTTATGGTGTTGGTCTCTAACCTGCAGCAGGTACCTTTCTGAGGGTGAGTTTTCATTTACATTGTTATTGCCAGTCTCTACATGATTCCCACTGCCTACTGCTACATCCCATTACCAAGGAAGGACTTAGCACTTAAAATCAGTTCAAGCCTTCTGATTCAGTAAGAAAAATTAGTACTCTACTCAATTCAGTTTTTCAAAAATTACATATGTTAAAGCAAGGAAAAGCTAAACTGTAGTTTTCCTTTAAAAAACACTTTATTTGCCCCCGTTTAATACAATTTTGTAAACTTTAAGAGCAAAAAAGGTTTCAGGAGCCTTTCATAGTACTTGAAAATCAAATGTCCGTTTGTTACATCATTTTTACACCTAATAAAGTTAAGTTGTAAAAATGTACTCCTTAAAGTTTTTCACACTACATGTACTTGACAGTATCATCATTTACTCTTCAATTTCAGTGCATCACATTAAGGTAAAATACTTCTCATATATTTACCTCTTCGAGGTGTTTCTTCCCCATTTAGAAGTCCACTTGGAAAAGTATCCTGATCTGCTACCATTCTCTGATCTTGCTGCTGCTGCAACTGTCTTATCATTCCATCAAGAACACTGGACTCTGGGCTTCGTTCACCATTATCATTGGTTTGGAGGCTTATAATTTGTTCAATCACCTCTCCATCACCTACAAGTTCAATTAATAAATATATAATCGTAATATATAGGAGCAGAAAACAATCCAAAAAAAAAAAACTTTCAGTAGACTATAATTAGAAATAATTGTCAGAATTCCTCTTTCCAAAAAATTATCAATTAGAAAAGATAACCTCCACATTAATAACTAAGTCAGAGAAAAGATTTAAAGCAAACAAAACCCTTCGTTTATAGTATTGACTACCACAAAAAACTCAACACGGCCTTTGAAATTCCTGGAAGTGAGAGCACAGAAACACATTTCTGTAAAGCTTTATTTTGCTGTTTCACACTAAAGCCCCTCATTTATACAAGATATATTTCACTAAAATCTTTTTTCCCAGAGTCTCTGAGGAACAGAGCAACTTTGGGTGATTTCTTTTTTTTTTTTTTTCCTTTTTGTCTTTTTTTTCGTG